AAATAGCGAAGCTATAGTCGAAGCCTTTTCTGAACATTACAAAAAGATATTCGGCACAAAGATTGCCTCCACAGATATAGAATATCTAAAGGAACTTGTAACATTGCTTCCCCAGTTAGATAAAGAACACACAAAAGAATTGGAAGAAGCGATCAGTTTAGCTGAGGTAGAAAACGCTGTGGATGCCCTTCCAACAAACAAAACCCCAGGACCGGATGGTATTACTGCAGAATTTTATAAGCTTCGCAAAAACACTTTATGTCCTATCTTGCAGGAGATTTTTCAAGAGGCCTACAGAAACAAAAGCCTTCCGCCCTTCCCTCTACCACTGTACTTGGGCATGTCCTTCCCCTGTCGGGGTAAAAGTCATGCCCGTTCCTAATCCCACTACAACCCCCTGGGAGGCCGCTCTACTCAGCTCACGCCCCGAACGGCAGCGAGCGCTGCTCGAACGGGCTAGACGGGTAGCGGTGGCCTGCGGGGCCTTGGACTTGGGGACCTGACCCGGGGGGCGTCATCACTGAACATACTGAATTAAAGTTTTTACCACCACCACCACCTTCCGCCCTCATTTCTGCATACACACACTATTCTTATTCCAAAGACAGATGACCAAAACAAACTTTCACAAGTGACTGGCTATCGACCAATCACATTATGCAATGTGGACTATAAAATATTTGCTAAAATACTGACAAATAGATTGCAGCGCATCATTTGCGAGTTAGTAGGGGATCACCAGACGTGTGGGATTCGTGGAAGGTCGATTCAGACAAATATTCACATTGCCAGAAGCGTATTAGAGTGTGTCACCAACAGCAGCTCTCAGGTAGCGATGCTGCAAGTTGATCTTGCAAAAGCATTCGACCGTGTTAGCCATAATGTTATTTTTATGATTTTGTCGCACATTGGCGTTGGTGATATGATACTTTATGGCGTTAAAATGTCGTACACAAACTGTTCTACACGCTTAATCATAAATAACAAAGTTACAGCAAGCATCCCAATTTGTTCTTCAGTTCGACAGGGCTGTCCATTATCTCCATTACTTTTCACTCTATATCTAGAACCTTTGTGCCAAACTGTAATAAGAAGTAGACAAATACAAGGCTTTACTTTGAGCAACACTGAAATTAAAGTTCTAGCATATGCCGACGATGTCGCATATTTTTGTAATGATAAGAAAAGCGTGATCCATGCCATGGATCTCACTCGCAGATTCTGTGAGGCCACTGGAGCCTCGGTAAATCTAGAAAAGTGTCGAGGATTCTAGCATGGAACCTGGGCGACGACGCCCAAGCACTACGAAGGCATAGATTGGAGCTGCACTCCGTGTAACCATCTAGGAGTGCCATTGAAGCACTACCGAAACAGCACGTCTTACTGGTCCGGAGTTGCGACTGAATTGAAACGACGAGCCAATAATTGGTCACACAAGAATTTGTCAGTGTTTGCACTTAATTATATCTTTGGCGGCTAAAGTATGGTATGTCTTGCAAGTACTGCACTGTACACGAACAAGTATTTAAAAATTGCACAGGGTTTTTCTGTTTTAGTATGGAAGTCCACTTGGGAACCTATGCGCCGTGACAATTTGTTCTGTCGTGTATCAGGTGGTGGACTTGGCCTTCCCCATTTGTTTATACGTCAGTTGGTTTCACGTTTCCTTTTCCTAAGAGACCAGGGGCACTCTTTTCTTCGTGAAGTCATTCAGAATAGACTGGCATATTACCTACCTGACTTTATTGTATCCACCGTGGGAGGCCAAACCTGTTTGTTAGTAGGATATCTTAGAGAAGTCGATGCTTTTCAGTTTTTATCAGTAAGGTTTTCAAAAGAATATTTAGTGACTGTTTCACGTAAAAAGTTGACAAGAGATCTTGTGAATATCTTATTTCCAATGCCAACTTACCGCTCAATGTTTAGCGACGTTTCCCACCGCGATGTACTGCGCCGGGTAAAGAAGATGTCCATTCCCCCTGCAGCGAAAACTTTCTTTTTCAAATTACATTGTTCAGTGTTACCCACGAAAGTGTGGCTAGAAGAGAAAGGAATATTCGTTCCGTGGTCAACAAACTGTACATTATGTAAAACGCCTGAAACAATTGAACATATTTTTATTCACTGTTGGGATGCCATTTTTTTCTGGGATGTTCTGCAGCGCACTCTAAAAAAGGATATTGATATTACACCCTATTCAATTCGTCTCCTGCCTGTATCATCTAGAGATAACTTTCCGTATGACATTGTAATGCTCCTAGCATTGTATAGCATGTGGAAGTCCCGCCTCGACATAAGGAATAAGGATTTGCATCCAAAAACAGTACGCCTACATTTCATTGAACTTGTTATCCGCGTAAAAAGCGTGTATGATATTCAAACTGTCGTACCTGACTGGCTGCCTCTGTTTAACAGTCTTGTAGACATCAGAGAGTTCTAACATGTGTAGTATGATTGTGTAAAGTGTACCCTGAACGACAACGTTGTGATCCCAACGTTTCTTCTTCCATGTAATAAAGAAAAAAAACTGTGCTCGTAGCTCAGGGGGTAGAGTGTTGGACTTCTGAGCTGAAGGTAGAGCGGTCGAGTTCCAGTCGGCCGCGGAGCCTTTTTTATCGAATAAAAGGGGCATTTAGCGCGCAGCGATTCGAATAATGTCACGTGACCATCATGTGATCGCGGCGCAGCGCCCTCTATCGGATGAAACACGAACCCTATGTGACATCACGTGAGCGCCCTCTGTCGGACGCAACTCGAACCCTGTGTGAGATGACGTGGTTAGAATCACGTGATGGGAGCCGTGCTGATGACATCCCACGTGACCGTCATGTGACCGCAGCGCAGCGCCCTCTGTCGGATGCAACACCAACCCTGATGACATCACGTGAACACAACTCGAACCCGGGGAAAATCACGTGGTTAACATCACGTGCACGTGCGTAATACCAGGAGGCACGTGCGTAATACCAGGAGTTGTTAACTCCTGGTATTACGTACGAGGCACGTGCCGCGTACCTCACCAGAGGGCGGGACCTCGATGAGCTCCGATTGGTCACTGGCTAATGCCCTGTGGGCGGGGCCATCGATATCATTGGTCAATGGGATGGGAGAGAGGGAAAGGGCCCCGCCCTACTGCGCTGTGATTGGTTGGATTGGATTTGGCCCCGCCCTCCTGCGCTGTGATTGGTCGCTGTGCAAACTTGTACACCTTTACTACTACTCTCTTCACACGGAAAGAATAAGAACACAGAAAATATACGAGGGACAGACACACACATATATTTTTTGCGTTTTTATTCTTTCCGTATGAACGTACTCCATCCAACGTGCTCTGCTACGTGTACCTAATTCTAACCTCTTTGGGATTTTATTATATTCCTCCTCCTCATCGGCAAAGTTCCCAGGCGCTCCCGCCAGACATGCTTTTAAGACGAAAGCCTTATATGTCTCTTAGTTTATTCGACCTTCAAAGTCCTTGAGCGAAAACGCGTCGACGACAGGAAAGGTACAAAATCTTTTACGTGACCACTCAGTGGATGACTTAACACTGAGCACTTTTGGAAGGATGATTCAGGACATTAAGAAGGATGACTCAGGACATTAAGGAGGATGACTCAGCACATTAAGAGGAATGACTCAGGGAGTAAATCATGTGTCTGTGTTTAATGCATCGGCGCTTGGGCTTTCGCCTTCAAGTCGTAGGAATAACATAAGAGACCACGTGAATTTTTTTTTTTATAATTAATATAAGAGGCTGAAGCCGCTTTGACCGACGGCCTTGAACTAGATGACAGACATCCGCGACAAAAGCGTGTCGACCGAGAAAGCCGCTAACCGTTTTCGAAATTAATAAAGCAAATGCATTATGAAATAAAAATGTCCCAACTCCGGGGTGGTTCCTTTAGAAAACAGATGCGAGAGATATTTGCGTCGCCCACATGAAGAGTGCCGATTTCCAAAGTTAATTTTATCGAAATGCCACGCTCAAAAGCGAGAGAATTCGGAAGGACGAGTATCAAGTAGATATTCTATTAAAACCATAAATTTGAAACCTACATCCTTTACATTAGCCGGGTTCAATCTAAACTGCACCTCTAATGCTGATGGAAGAAATATATGTCAGAGAATACGATACCAGGTGGATCAAACGAAGTCAACTCACGTTAAAGAAATCGCAAAACGTCAGTTTCACACCCTACGACACTTTGCATTTGTTTTTAAGAATATCAAAGAAAACTGTACCTTAGTATAAAGCTTAAAATAAAAATTAAAAATTATACTCTTCCTACGGGTCTACACGGAGTTAAGCCTTTCCTGTGTAAAAGTTATCAAATACAAAAAGAAAATTGTTGCGGATTATTGTAACGACACTGAGACCACTGGAACGTTTCTGTAAACAAAAACAGGGAAGGGGGCAAAAGTCCTCATTTCGCTCTTGTTCCCTAGTTTGTCTAATGGTCTCGATGACGCACAGCAACATTTTTTTTTTACTATACAAGTTCTAATTTTAACAGATAAAAAAGTTTGTGAGAGTTGGACGAGTGCAGTCTTCACCGTACATTTATCAGGCTCAGTGAACAGTAGATGATGGGATACTCGTCATGCTAAATTGACTAATTAGCTCAAACGTGTTGATTAACTTTTAGTTATTGGTTGTAAGGGTCATGTTGGATTTGCATTATTGACGGCAGTTACTATTAGAAGCAAGACCTGCGAAAAGGTAATCTAGTCCTATTTAAAATAGGCGCGCCAAAATGAGCGCATCCAGCCCTGTCCAAAAGGACGCTTGGAATAGTGAGGTACGTTTATGTTGCCACTTGTGTCCTTGGTGCATCCACGAAGAACACGCTGCCAAGGTATTGACGACATGGTTGAAAGGATGACATCATTCCTCTAAGTGCCATTAGGCCTGTTCGATTTCCCTACACCTCCTGCACCGGAGCAGAAACGTGCGGGGCAGTGTGGTGTGTGCATTGAGATACGAGCGGAAGTACACCGCCCTTCACTTTTCTGCACCGATGCAGGAGGTCCAGAGAAATTGAACGAGCCTATTGTGGGCTGTGACGCTCTTTTTTAGAGGAATTTTTAAATCGGGCCAAAATTTATAGACTAATATGTAAAAAACCCTTACCTTTTAGCCAATTCTTTAAATTGGTCTGGCCTCTAATAGTAATTTCCGTCACTACTGCAATTTGAACATGACCACCAAAACCAATAAACTTAATTAAGAAATTTATTTAATTATCAACGTATCGGGACGATTATCCTCTCATCTAATGGACGCTAGACTGATAAATACATGGTGAAGACAAAACACGTTTAACTCTCACCACCCATTTAAAAAACAAATATGTTCGAATTAAAACAAACACCCTGTAGTTAAGGAAGCGTCAGCTCATAGAAACAAATTTTTTGACTATTTTACTCTAAATAAAGCAACTTTTTCCCTTCAATATATCCTTCAATGTTCTCACAAATACGTTAGGTATTTTCACCTACGAGCAGAATTAGTGCTGTAGAATTTTAAACTTATTCAAACGTGAGTTTGATTCATTTGTCTGACCCGGTATAGAATGAGTCGGTTAAAATGGAAAAGCGTCCTTGGCGTTTCGCATGAGGTTAGCTACAAACCCTTCCATGCTCCCAGGGTTCGCAAATATCTTGCTAAGGCTCGACGAGGCTCCGGGACTCCCAGAGCGCATTTCGACGACCCGCATTGTACTCTTGTCGTAAGGGTTCTTGTACACGTAGCTCCTCATTTGTGGCCTCCCACCGGCACTGTCTTTAGACGTAGCCGCGGGGTTGGAGTCGTATTGGGACTCGTAGCCACTCCGTGGATATCCGTAGCCCTCACTCGCAGACCCGTAGCCTCCACCAGATGGTCTGTATCCTCCACCAGATCGTCCGTAGCCGCCCCTGGAAGGCCCGTAGCTGGAAGACCTGTAGCTTCCTCCGGGACTGTGGTCGTCGTCGTTGTAGTGCTTCTCGTAGGCCACAGCATGGCTGGTACTGTATCTTTTTTCCGGGTATACCTTCTCGTAAGCGTACGCTCGTTGGGTGTTGTAGCCCTTCGGAGAGCCGCCGCCGCCGTAACCGTAGTATCTGAAATAAATTGAAAAAAAGAAGACAAAAAACAATTGAGCTGTCGGAACTGAAAAGGAAAATTAGCTTGCGGTTCTGGCAAATACGTTCCTCTACTTGGTTTCACCTTGAGTCCAGACGCAGCTGAAGCTAGTTGATGGGATCAAGAAAGCAGCGTCAAAAGTGCAAGATGCCTTTTCTGCTTATGATTGGTTCAGCGGTGATAGAACATGTACGAAAACATGACGAAAACCATGGCGGTGCGCTTTTCACGCTCTTTAATGGGTCCCATCAGCTCGTAACGCCAGCTGCGTCTTAAGCTGAAACAACGTAAAGGGAAGAAATCTTACTCCGCAAAAATCCAACGACCTTGGCTACGGTGGAAGAAATTAGACGGCGTCGCCTCGTCATGGAGCAGGTGTCGCAAAGCTTCGCTCGCATTTCTGACAAAAGCCGTGAGTTGGCGTAGCATGTAAGGAGCCAATCGAGGAGTCTTCGTTATTCGCGCTCACTTTTACAAGGTCACGCAACCGCGCCTGCGCAAAGGAGATGGGGAAACCCCGAGCAAACTGCATTCGCCCTCTTGGCTGGTCTTTCCTTATACTGGGGCCTTTTTGCGCAGTTGGAACGGCTGGACGCGCGCAACCTCCGGGAATTCCCCTCTGAATCCTCTCGATGTGCTTGAGCGTGAATTTTATCGAGGGGCTTTAATTAGGAGCTGTGTATGGCCACCTATCTTCGTGGAAACGCGCCGAGACAGCGGAGACCGCCGTACCTGCTGTCTTGGAGGATCCGGTATCTCGGTGCATCGGCGGCAGCCCTCTCCCTCGGCACAGCGCGATGCGCATTTATTCTCTCGAACGTTTCCAAACCGCGCAGAGAGGGCCGTGTAAGCGCGCTGTCTATTGCAAATGAGCGGAGTACCGTGTATTCTCCTAGTATGTGGTTCTGATTAATTTCGTCTACATTAGCCGCTTTGTGGCAAATTCTAACAAACGAAATTTATTACAAAAAGTTGTTAACGTGGTTGTTTCTAGGCAGCAATTCGTCGTAATTAACCACATCGTTTTCCTCCTTTTGTAATTATTAGCTGATAGTCAAAAACATACGTTGTTTTGAAACCCAAGGAAAAGACAACATATCTAACTGTGTATGCAATCGCCATTGCGTCGATCGGTATATAAAACAAAATAAAAAGGCAGCGTGCCTGTTTTTTTTGTAATTTTTCCTGTGCTCATAAACCATCTATCTATCTTTGAATGGCCCAGGAGGACCAATACAGTATCTGAAAATTTCGTGGCTGTAGCAAAAGCGAGAGGAAGAACGGTGTCTAATGCATACCATGGCATTGGAAGCGTAAAATATTTCAATTAATAAAAACCGGAACCTCAATTAATAGAAACCGAAACCTCTCCAAGTATAGTTGCAAAATATCTTCTCCAAGTGTGATATAACCGAATGTTGGAACAAACCTGTTTGTTGCTTGCGGAAAGTCATATCCGCCTCCTGGAAACCGTCCATCGTACCCGTCGGTTGCCGATGCTTGAATAGGGTCATGCTTTTCTTCCGAGCTAGCTCCGTACCTTATGCTATCGCCCTGACCTCTCTGCACGGTCGCCTCGGCTCTGTAGCCCCCGTGGTCCGGCCTCGACAAGACACCGTACACCTGTCGATTCTGTTCCAGGTTGGATGCGCTTGAGACTGGAGCTCCCGCAGTGACGGCGTGGTTGATGGTCTGTCCAAACTCGAACGATGTTGGATGGAAGAAGGCCTGGCCGGCTGGTTCTTGTTGAGCAGGTTCATTGGGGGTTTTGCTCCTGGAAGACGCTTGTTGGTTATCGTCTGCTCGGGCCGAAGAGTCTGGAGTTGCAAAAGGGTTCAGGTTTATGGCGGCGTAGGTGTAAGAAGGCTGGTTATGGTCCGTGTTAGCGTTTGAGTAGAAGGAGTGGCTGCCGGACTCTTGTAAGGTTTCTTCGGTTGCGCCATCCGACTTGGAGGTTGAAGCTGAGTTTGTCTCGAGATCGATACAGGACGCGACGACGACGATTCCCTGCAGTCAAAGATTCAACACGAAAGGATCATAAAGAAATATTATAGCTACAACGCGCAAAATAAACGGTGCCTTTATTCCTGCTGTAAAGAAATGTGGCATCATTAACCGTCCTCACAGGCAGTGCCAGTGAGGACCCCATTACCCAGGAATCGTGCATGACAAAATGCAGACATAAGATCTACAGGAGAATCCCCGTTTCCAGCACGCGGCCTTCCGTCCTATTTGGCTACGTGTGCGCCTAAGGCTATGCTCCAAATCTTACCCAAATGGACCCGAGTTACTCCAGCGGGTCGTGCCACGTTACAGCAAAGAGAGAGAAAAACGCAGGACGCGGGTGTGTTCTCGAACACAAAAGCACAAAATCCTCACCCTGGAGTATACGAACGAGTAAATATTGGAACACAGCCATAGTGTCATCGAAGGTCAAAAGCTGCCGCTGGAGGAGGAGCTTCTACTGCAGATCTTGTGTTTCAAGTCATCGCCCAGGTCGCTAGCGCGTGGCCTTGGAAAATGGCGCTCTTCAGCCATTTTGTACTCGAAGTCTGACAACATGGGAAGGGATTTTATTTATTTATTTATTTATTTATTCATTCTGCCAGCCGTGAGGCCAAGGCAGGAGTGGTACATATTTTGAAAAACATACCAAGGACACACAAAGAATTCAATAATTCAGTCACATCCCTTGGTGACATGGGAAGAAAGAAACATTTCAATTTCCTTCACAAAAGTTGACACACTTTGAGAGTTGACTATACATTCAGGCAGCTTATTCCAGAAATCAATACATCGAACAAAAAAGGAGTGCTTAAAATGATCCGTAGAGTATTGATAGGATTGGATATTTAAGCTATGTTTTATTGATAGGATTGCATCGAACATAGCTGCCGCGTTATGTTCAATAAGCATGTGTACCGTTTGAAATCTACAAGAATTCACGTGTTCACGCAGCTATCCAACAAAACAATGGCGATGAGCTTGAGATCGAACAAAGGGAGAACCCCCAAACAATAGTTTTGAACGGTACGGACCCCTCGTTAAACAACCGAACTTCTGTAGCGAGATTGAGCAAATCATGGCCTTCACGTTCCTTTTGTTCGACGTCCGTGCCACTGACGCCAATAACGTCGGCACAGAGTGGTTCAAATGAGTGAAACACTTCGACAACTTCGTGGTAGCCTGCGGCATCAGAAGCGACGCCCGGAAGACTGCCCTCCTGCTACACAACACTGGGGAAGAAGTACACGATACCTACTGTGCTCTACCCGGCTCTCCAGCGACCACGCCAGCAGCGGCCTGTTCAAGCTTTGCCGAGGCAAGCCCTATCAACAAGACAGCGCATGGGAACCACGGTGCGTACTTTACACCTAGGGTGAATATGACGTTCGAGATCTACCGGTTCCGACAAGCCAAGCAACTGGAAGACGAGTTTCCCGACGCGTTTTACGCCAGGCTACGGCACCTAGCGAGACACTGTGCTTCGCCAATGCAGACTCGAAAATCAAGGACCAAATACTGCTTTCCACGACGTCCTGCGCGTTTACGCCGGTACGCCATGCTACATGATCTCAATCTACAGAGAATTCGCAAGCGACGCATACTATTCCGAGAAGTCGAGCACAGCGTCACGGTAATGGAACAAGGCCGATAGTGGTCCGAGAATATAGCGGCAACACTGGTAGTCAACTTCAAACCTTCCTCGTGACCCCATCAGCCGAAGCGGCAAGGGAAGACGCAGTCCTCGCAGAATCAGCGCCAGCAGCGGCGCGTCATGCTACAACTGCGGAGGATGGTGGCCCCACGACGGCGGTCGATCGAACTGCCCAGCTAGAGGCAAGACTTGCAAGTCATGCCAGAAGGAGGGTTACTTCTCCAAGGTATGTCGCATGCTCAAAAGGCTGTTCGTGCACTTAAAAAAAAAAAGGTGTATATATTCCTTCATAAAGAGCGCAACGATCTTCTCCCCTATGGTCCTTTAAAAACGTAACAACGTTTGTCCCCGCAAACGTGGGAGCAACGTTCCACCCTCGTCTGCATAGCAATATGACGGCTCCGAATCGAGTGAATCGAGCTCAATAAAGTTTAACTAGGACGCCAGGATTGGCATTAAGGCCCGTTCACACTCTTGCGACCGAGTAAGACCGAGAGAGACCAGACCGGTTTTTAAGCCTCTTGCGACGTCTTAGGACCGGATGCGCTGCAGCGGAGCTGGTCCTGAGAAGTCGCAAGAGGCTTAAAAACCGGACTGGTCTCTCTGGGTCTTACTCGGTCGCAAGAGCGTGAACGGGCCTTTACGCGCAACGCTGCCGCGATTTAACCGAAAAGAGCTAGCTGTCGTTTTCGGACAGGCAATTTACCTCGCACCAACGGCGGCCCCCCAGGCCTGCTAAGTCGCAAGAATAGGGTTGCCACCCGCCCGGTCTTTGACCGGCCCAGCCGGTTTTTTAGACAGCAGGCCGGTTGCCGGTCCGTAGGTAAAACCGGCCGTCATTGGCCGGTTTTTTGACAGCCATCGAAGCGCGATTGGTTTTAGCTTATTTTTCTTGCGTTTTTTAAGCGACAATTCAACAACTACGACGATGAATAGGACACGCGATTAGAGAAAGTACGCGGGCGAGCGCGACAGGAGAACTCCCTGAGACGGGGGAGGGGTACGGTCAACACAAAACAAAACGACACCGGGAGCGCGGTGGAAAGCTGGAAAGCAGGAAAATGAGGGGGAGCGAGAACAAGCAAGTCGCCGGCGGGCAACTCGGCGACAATCCCTCCCGATAGCTGAGCCTTCTGGGAGGTGTTGGTTTTCTTAACGATTGTCGGCATTTTGACAAGGACACGCACGGCGCTTCATCCGTCCACTGTGTCGGGCGGCGTATGCGCTTTCCCCAAGCTTTCCCCTTCCACTACACATATGGAGTAATATTGTTGTTACTTTAGATCCTCGTTTTTTCCCCTCCCTATTCGTTCTCCATTTAATTGTTTAATTGCCAAGACCAGAGAAACGCGCCGACGATGTCAAAGAGCTGAGCGTCTCTCGCAGCTGTTGTCACTTTGTTGGCTGTTTGTGTCCCAAAAGTAACCTTCCCTTCATTTCAGACCTCCATAGTTGTTTTTCCTTGGTTCTCGCTATTCGTTTTCCTTCGGAAAGCTTTGCGCGAGCATAAGGGAATATTCAAAGTTAATTGCTTGAGCACCAAGCCAGACACGCGCCGACAATGTCTAGGAAGAGATGCTCGGCTCTCGCAGCTGGGATTACTTGGTGGCCTGCGTGCGTTCCAAAATGACAGAGAGTGTGCGCAATAGGAGCCGCACGTTGAGTGCTGACTCATTGTCTCTGCTGCCGTGCACTGCCAGTGGAGCCATCGCAGAGGATCAAAGGAAGACGCCGACATTGTCGTTTTTTTCGGCACTCTTTCAGAGTATCGATATGTGCTGCTATGTTCAGGCTTGCTTTCTAACTATTTCCAAAAGGCTGCCATAAACTTGAAGGGCAGTACCGTGCGCAGCGATGCGATTGGTTTGTACGGAGGCGTTCCCGACGTCAATCACCAAAACTTCATGCTATTTGTCAACCACTTTTTATATTGTGCCCGTAAATACTGGAAGCAAGGTCCCTTCAAGTATACTGGTCATTGGGAGGGCGAAAATTTGCATCAGTGGTTACGCGCTTCCTTTGCTTTGCATCATGAGCGCGAATTCTCCGCCTTCGAAACAGCGAAAATGACGTTAGTGCGTGTTTCGGAAAGACTGGAGATCTCAACCCGAGTACGAGAGTTGGCTCCTGCCCGTGGATGACGATGCCACAGCTGCAAGATGGATGTACTTTATGCGCAAGCACGCTTACGGTGAAATTTGATGGCGTCAGCGCTGTCAAACATCACGCGTCAACGCAGTAACATAAGCAGAAGAGCCTCGCCTCGAAACAATCGGCTGCGCTCACGAAGTTCTTCGCTCCAGCGACTTCTAGCGCAGAACATAAGATGACTGCTGCAGAACTGGGCACCATATTCCACAGCATCAAGCACACCTACAGTCACCTGTCAATGAATTGTGGCAGCAAGTTAGGGTCAAAAGTCTTCCCGGATTTAGACGTCGCTTGCAGAATGCGACTTGGAAGAACGAAGATGGAATGCACCTCGTGAAAGATGTGCTGGCACCTTATGCAGTGTAGTGCATAGTCGAGAAGCTTCGCCTAGCAGGCCGCAACCTCCCGTTTGCTCTCTCCACGGAGGCCTCCAACAAGGGAAATAGAAACTTTTCCCCGTGCGCTTCTACGACGTGAATGGTTCCGGAATAACGGACGCTCTCATCGACTTCTGTGAGCAGGCGGACGAGACTTCCGGCGGAATCTGCGAACTCTTGGCAACAAGTTTGGAGAAGGTGGGTCTTCCTTTAGAGCAAGCTGTGGCGTATAGCGCGGATAACGCTTTTGTGAATTATGGGAACCACAACTTCGTTTTCCAAAAGATGCAGAAAGATCAGTCGCACT